TTAACAAAAAAACGAAGTCCAGATGACATGATTCAACCTTTTTTGTTAATGGAAGAGATTCTTTAAATTTTGTTAGTGTTCTCTGATAAACACTTTCTATAATTTAATTTTTATCTCTGTGGTTGTGTAGTCAGTTAATGTAAACTCAAAAGTTATTAAAAATGATCAGACAGAACAGGGTTTTGAGGTTGTATTAATAAGTACTTAATCTCTATGCCATATGCTAAGTACCGACCAAATCACCTTTGTGAACCAGCTTGGACGTCTGGACAACTGAACACCTTATCACTTCTGTGGACCAACTTGTACCTCAGGAGCATCAAAGACCTCATAACCACTAAAGATCGCTGATCCAACCTGGACCTAGGGAGAACTGGCCACCTCTTTTTACCAGCCTGGACCTCAGTACAACTAAAGACCTGATCACCTTCGTAGACCAGTGTGGACTTCAGGATAACTAGGGACCAGGTCAAGTCTGTGGACTATCTAGGACCTAAGGATCAATAAAAATCAGATCCCCTCTCTGTACCAGTCTGGAGCTCAAGATAACTAAAAATCTGATCACATCTGTGGACCAGCCTGGTCTCAGGAAGACCTCATAAAATCTGTGGACCAGCCTAGATCTTTGGACAACTAAATACATGATCCCCTCTGTGGATGAGCCTAGACACTAGGATAACTAAAGGCATAATCACCTCTGCGGACTATCCTAGATCTCAGGACAATTAAAGACCTGATCACCTCTGTGGATCACCCCAGACCTCAGGAAAACTAAAGACCTGTTCACCTCTGTGAACTATCCTGGACCTCAGGAAACTAAAGACCTGATCACCTCTGTGGACTATCCTGGACATCAGGACAGTTAAAGACTTGATCATCTGTGGACCAGCCTGGACCTCGGGAAAACTGAAGATCTGATCACCTCTGTGGAGTATTCTGGACGTCAGGACAACTAAAGACCTGATCACCTCTATGGATCAGCCTGGACCTCAGGACAATAAGGGCCTCATCACCTCTGTGGAACAATCTGGACCGCAAGACAACTAAAAGCCTCATTATCTCTGTGGACTAGCCTGGACTTCGGAACAAGTAAATAGTAAACGGACTGTACTTATATAGCGCCTTTCTATCAGTCAAGATACTCAAAACGCTTTACAATACAACTTGTGTCCTCATTTGCCCATTCATACAGCACTCTGCTAGGTCTCTACAAAGCTAGTCTCAATATATAGAGATAATCAGTGCTTTAGATCACATTCATACTCCAATGGGACAAACATCAGATGCATTGAAGGGTTCAGTGTCTTGCCCAGGGACACTTCAATGTGTGACTGCTGGTGGAATCGAACCACCAACTATCCCATTGGAAGACAACTGCTCTAATCACTCATCCACAGCTGCCCAGTAAAGTAAAGATTTTATCACTTCTGTGGACCAGCCTAGACCTTGGGAAAACTAGACCTGATCACCACTGTGAACCATCCTCAGACTCCATAGTTACAATATACAACCCCTCCTGTCCTACTTCTTCAGACCCCACACATCCACAGACCCATCCAGTGCTCAAGAACTAAAACCAAAGATTTTGATCCATTCATGAAAGGTTGTCACTAATAGACCAGCCCAGTGTTTTTGTAAATACACTTTATATTGTGTATTTTGTCAAAGTATGCTTTGTGTTTGATTTTAAAGAGTAAATTTCATGTGTGTAAGGGTGAAGTGGTGCTTAGAAAACAGGATGGGGTGCGCTCATTTAACTGGTTGAGATTTTATTGAGAAATGTAAGTTTTTCCAGTTTTTAGATTCAAGTGGTTTCTGTTTTTACTTGCTATGACATGACTGTCAGGTGATTCATATGAGGTCCAAAACATTCCAGTGCTTTGAACATCAGAGGTCACATTATGTTATGTATGTAACATAACATTACATTTATGTATACATGTTCAGGATTAAAATGAGTTTACCAGAGAGACAAGTGCCAAGTAGGTTAAATTATATTTTCAGGCCAGTTTTTGACCTGATGTTTGAAGAAATGTGGCTAAACTCGGGAAAATTAAAAATTTAAAATTATAGTTCTATCTGTTCATAACTTTAACTTGGCTGCAACTATTTTCCAGTCTGGTTATCTTTTATGTTTTTTTTTTCTTTCCTGTTTTAATCTTTTCCTGTACATGTGTCTCTGATCCAGCCATGCCCAGCTTTATCCGGTCCCCGGATGATCAGACAGGGATTTCTGGCGGAGTGATCTCCTTCATCTGTCAGGCTGTGGGTGAGCCCAGACCTCGCATCACTTGGACCAAAAAGGGGAAGAAAGTCAGTTCTCAGCGCTTCGAGGTTTGATTTCAAGAAACTGTTGTCAGAACTCCTGAACCGATTTCATTTGACACTGTTCTATCTGCCTATGTTTCATGCTGAGTTACAGCAGAGGACAGCAGAACAGGACAACAAAAGTTTGTTAAATCTTTGTTTTGATTTTATGTCTTAACAAAGTAATCAGATTTCAAATGAACGCTCCCTCTCTAAACATGTATTTTACCAAAAATGGAGGTTGGAGGCAGGTGTGGGTGCTTCACCTTTGCCACCCACATTTTGATGTAAAGATCCAGGGATTCGAACCAACAATCCCTTGAGCACAGGCTCGCCCTCTCTAGACTCTGTACCACCACTTCCCCAATTTGAAGACGGAGCACATGTTATATGAGTAATGCACAGGTTCTCCTGCAAAAATAATGAAATTTTACAAGTGCCTATAAACATTATATCAGCAACAAAAAGGAGGAAATCCTACACATCAAATCAAATATGAAACACATATTAGTATTTGCTTTATTTGACTGTTGTGTGTTTACTTTTTATTATCATTGTGCTCCCCTGGCAGCACATCAATCATTCATGTATCAGTACCTGGTACTGAAAAGTACTGAAATACAAATCCTTGTACTTTATTTGAATAAATGTGGTATTGGTACAACTTGCGACCTGTCCAGGGTGTCCTCTGCCTCTCGCACAGTGATGGCTGGATATGGGCACCAGTGACCCCCACGATCCGAAAAGGAAGAAATGAGTAAAGATGATGGATGATATTGGTGCATTCCTGGTTTGATTTTCATGGAAAAACAGAACACTGATTTGTTCACTCAAATTATTCCTATGAAGAATATCGGGCATGGTTTTGATGTCTAGGTTGATTGGTATATTAACGTATTTTAACAAAGTTTAGTATTTTGTTATGTGCTAACAAGCATAATCTGAAGTATCTAATGTGTGTATTCCTCCTCTTCTGTCAGGTAAAGGAGTTTGATGGCGGATCTGGCTCTGTTCTGCGTATCCAACCTTTGAGGACCAACCGGGATGAAGCCATTTATGAATGTAGAGCCACCAACAGCGCGGCAGAAATCACTGCCACTGTCCAGCTGAATATCTTAGAGGGTGAGACCTAAGTTTTGTCTTTGTGTCTCTCTTTCAACAGTTTGTGTGGACATCACTTCTAGGGTTGGTTTTCATTCATACCTTTTGTTTGGGTTCCATTTGATCTTCATAAATTAACACTTAAATCATAAACTGTTCTATATATCCATGAACCATCCATCCATCCATCCATTACCTTTTACCCGCTTCTTCCATTTTGGGTCACGGGGGTCGCCGGTGCCCATGTCCAGTAATCACTGTGTGAGGGGCGGGTGACACCCTGGATGGGTCACAAGTCCATCACAGGGCCACATAGAGACAAACAACCATTCACTCTCTCACTCACACCTAGGGACAATTTCGAGTTACCAATCAGTCTAACATGCATATTTTTGGTCTGTGGGAGGAAACTGGAGTACCCAGAGAAAACCCACACATGCATGGAGAGAACATGCAAACTCCTCTCAGAAAGGCCCCCCAGACAGGGATTTGAACCAGGGACCTGTTTGCTGAGAGGCAACAGTTCTACCAGTTGAGCCACCGTGCTGCCCATATCTATGAACCATTTGTGTTATTTTGGATTGCTATATTTGTTTCACCTGGCATAACAAAAGTCTAAACTTACCTAATAAGGTCTACAAATGTTTTCATGGGAGTAAATTCTGGGTCCGTGACATCCAGAGTTCAGAGTCAGCATTCATTTTCAGTCCAACAAATGGTATCATGTTTTAGAGATCAACAAACCCCAGTGTTTAATTAATAATTTTAACACCCAAGTATTTAAATGTGGAAAGGAGTTTTAATTGTTAGATGATTACAGTTGTCTTCAAACATAGTGTAGACAAAAAAAGCTAAAGTAATGCAGAGGAATTCTCAGTAGATCATATGAATTGCTTCATAGACCTTCCTTCAGAGAGATGATGGATACTACACCATGCATCATTAACATGAACTATGAACCCCCTTCTTGACATTGTGTCTCTTTAGGGTTTAATGTTTGAACCTTTTGACACCATCATTATTCTATGTGGCCCTGTCTGAGCTAAGCTCTTCTTTCCAGCAGCTGTTCTGTATGAATGTTCTTGCTGTGTGAACATTACTTCTGTATTAACGTTCCTTTTTGTGAACTTTCAGGCTGTGTGAACATTCTTGCTCTGCGAATGTTCCTTTAATGTGAACTTTCAGTCTGTGTGAATATTCCTTTGGTGTGAACATTCCTTCTGGGTGACCATTTCCTCTGTGGGGCTGTACCTGTTGTGCGAATGTTCCTTCAGTGTGAACGTTCCATCTATGTGAACGTTCCTTCTGTGTGAACATACCTTCTATGTGAACGTTCTTTCTGTGTGAATGTTCCTTCTGTGTGACCGTTCCTTCTATGTGAATGTTCCTTCTGTGTTGTAGGGGAAAGGCTCGTTTGAACACCTTTTAGCAGGTGTATACACTAACCATTCAAAGTTATGTAATAAATGTTGACCAGCCTCAACCCCAAAACATACAGGTCCTTCTCAAAAAATTAGCATATTGTGATAAAGGTCATTATTTTCCATAATGTAATGATAAAAATTAAACTTCCATATATTTCAGATTCATTGCACACCAACTGAAATATTTCAGGTCTTTAATTGTTTTAATACTGACAATTATGGCATACAGCTCATGAAAACCCAAAATGCCTGTCCCAAAAAATTAGCTTATCATGAAAAGGTTCTCTAAACAAGCTATTAACCTAACCATCTGAATCAACGACGTAACTCTAAACACCTGCAAAAGTTTCCTGAGGCTTTTAAAAACTCCCAGCCTTGTTCATTACTCAAAACCGCAATCATGGGTAAGACTGCCGACCTGACTGCTGTCCAGAAGGCCATCATTGACACCCTCAAGCAAGAGGGTAAGACAGAAAGAAATTGCTGAACGAATAGGCTGTTCCCAGAGTGCTGTATCAAGGCACCTCAGTGGGAAGTCTGTGGGAAAGGAAAAGTGTGGCAGAAAACGCTGCACAACGAGAAGAGGTGACCGGACCCTGAGGAGGATTGTGGAGAAGGGCCGATTCCAGACCTTGGGGGACCTGCGGAAGCAGTGGACTGAGTCTGGAGTAGAAACATCCAGAGCCACCGTGCACAGGCTACAGGTGCCGCATTCCCCAGGTCAAGCCACTTTTGAACCAGAAACAGCGGCAGAAGCGCCTGACCTGGGCTACAGAGAAGCAGCACTGGACTGTTGCTCAGTAGTCCAAAGTACTTTTTTCGGATGAAAGCAAATTTTACATGTCATTCGGAAATCAAGGTGCCAGAGTCTGGAGGAAGACTGGGGAGAAGGAAATGCCAAAATGCCAGAAGTCCAGTGTGAAGCACCCACAGTCAGTGATGGTCTGGGGTGCCATGTCAGCTGCTGGTGTTGGTCCACTGTGTTTTATCAAGGGCAGGGTCAATGCAGCTAGCTATCAGGAGATTTTGGAGCACTTCATGCTTCCATCTGCTAAAAAGCTTCATGGAGATGAAGATTTCATTTTTTAGCACCATCTGGCACCTGCTCATAGTGCCAAAACCACTGGTAACCACTGTATACTGACCATGGTATTACTGTGCTCAATTGGCCTGCCAACTCTCCTGACCTGAACCCCATAGAGAACCTGTGGGATATTGTGAAGAGAAAGTTGAGAGACGCAAGACCCAACACTCTGCATGAGCTTAAGGCCGCTATGGAAGCATCCTGGGCCTCCATAACACCTCAGCAGTGCCACATGCTGATTGCCTCCATGCCACGCTGCATTGAAGCAGTCATTCATGCAAAAGGATTCCTGACCAAGTATTGAGTGCATAACTGAACATGATTATTTGAAGATTGGCGTTTTTTGTATTAAAAACACTTGTCTTTCATTGGTGGGATGGAATATGCTAATTTTTTGGGACTGGCATTTTGGGTTTTCATGAGCTGTATGCCATAATCATCAGTATTACAACAAATAAAGACCTGAAATATTTCAGTTGGTGTGCAATGAATCTGAAATATATGAAAGTTTCATTTTTATCATTACATTATGGAAAATAATGACCTTTATCACAATATGCTAGTTTTTTGAGAAGGACCTGTATGTGAATCCTTGTAACAAATTTCATCCCCCTCACTCGAAGAAAAGACAAAGGATCTTGTAATTTGAATACACAATTCTATAACGTTTATTTTCAGTTTGAATAATGACAATATGGCAAATATGAAATATGAATAAATAACCAATAGTATTTTTTCAAAAGGGTATATAATATAGGTAGTCTAAAGACTTTGAGAAGAGGTGTATTCAATTTGGACTAAGGTTCTAGCTCTAACATTAAAACTTAGGTAAGCTTTATCTCAGATTAATGAACTAAATTATGTCTAAACTCAGTTGGCACTTAGTTGTTTTCTCATCAGAAGGAAGATGGTTTATCCTACTAGGAGACATCCATCTCTCTCTCATTACCATGATGGATGCGGGGAGAGCCAGTGGCCTGCTGCCCCAAGAAAGGATGTCTTTTCTCAAAACTGCGATTCGTTCGGCAAGTATCATCGCTCCTGGGTGTTTGAACAAATTACGGACTTCTGGGCTGGCTCAGAGCCAACTCTCCACCAGGACCCACTTCTTCCTTCATGGCTGCTTCTCCAAGATAATTATTCTCTGCAACTCTCTTCAACAACAACCTTTCAGCAACTGCTCATCTCAGCAATTGCCTGACGATGACTGACCTCTGGTGTCCGTTTACCTGACACATCAGAAGTGGCCATGCCCCTGATCTTAACCAATGAAAATGCAGCTCCCAACCAATGGATGTGAACAAATCTACATAACTTAATTTAATTATAACCTCCCCTCAAAGTTTCAGAGGGGAACACAATAGCTTTTGTTAAAAAAGGCAACACATTGTTTTTACATAAACACCATTCCTTTCAGCAAATGCAAGTTTGATTCTGACACAATGTTGTTATAAACAAAAGAAAGTGTTTGAAGCTCTTGTTCCACTGTTGGGTTCTTCCTCCATTACTACGTCAACCATAGTTCTGTAGTAAGGTAAAGTTCACTCTTTGTTAGAGCTTTCTGCTCAGAGACTGGGGGTATGGCAAGCCCTTTTAACATAAAATAGGATTCACCACGCTTACATTCCAGATATCTGAAACTGAGTTTTGACTAGACATATTGGTTATTTAAGATATCTTGAATTGCATTTTGACTAGTCAAAATACTTATTTAAGATATCTCTAATTACATTCTGACTAGTCATAATGACGTCAGATTTACCATTGAGTTGTATGGAGGCTTCAATTCAAGATATCTTGAACTGAATTTTGACTAGTCAAAAATACAGTTCTAGATATCTCTAAGTTAATTTTGACTAGTCATTATTTGCTTTCAAGATATCTCACTTTTAGTTCTGACTAGTCATAATTACAATTAAAGATATCTTAAATTACGTAATTTTTCAAGATATCTTAAATGTATTTGTAGATATCACAAATGAAGTTTTGACTAGTGCAAATTAAATTGTAGATATCTTGAAAGCAAATAACGACTAGGCAAAACTAACTTAAAGATATCTAGAACTGTACTTATGACTAGTCAAAATTCCTTTTAAGATATCTCAAAATGAATTCAAGATATCTTGAATATTTTATCATGTAGACTGCTTTTCTATTTAAGATATCTTGAATTCACATTTTGACTAGTCCGAATGACATTCAAGATATCTTGAATTGTTATTCTGACTAGTCAAAACGTCACAGATTTACGTAGCATTTTGGCGGAAAAATCATAAAGCATTGTAGCCTTTTTATTTTATAATCTGCAAAGTCAGGTCAGTCCAACACAACGCTCGTATTTTTAACATGATTTTTAACGCGGCAGCTCGGATTATTTATTGTATCTGCAACAAGAAGACTTTTTTGCGACGTCTTTTTCACGACAACCGGAAACCGACACTTCCTGCTTTGCGAGTTTTTGCACTAAGGAGAAATGTCTCTCTTTTCAACATCTTTGCTTAATTTGCCAATCTTTTCTTTCGCTGCTGAGGAGGAAATCGCAGCGGCGAATTCTCGAACTAATAAACTTGAAAGGATAAAAGTTCTTCCATGAAGAAAATCTCCACAGCTGTCAAGGTAAGAAAAGACGTAGCTTAGCAAGCTAACCGTTAGCTACAACATATGAAGCGCATAAACATCGTAATAAAGAAGCCTAATTTAGTGTGCTAAATTATTTGGAGTGTTTGAGACAGACATGATATAAAATCTTTAATTATATTTTTATGAGGTTCCATTAGTGCCAAACATATGTTTATGTGTATGTAGCGTGCTGTGTATATGTAAGGTGATGTGTTAAGTGAATCCATCTATTATACAATCTATTACTTGTTTAAAGCTAAATATGTTATAACAAGTATTAATTATATATATGTGTGTGTGTGCTAAAAACAGATCTATTTTAGATCTCACTTGGTGTTGAAAAAAGAAATGTTGGCTTATTTCTGTAGAAGTGCAGCTGGTGAAGGTTTTTGTAACCATGTAGTTGCACTTTTTTTTTTTAACCAGACTGCCCACTACTCCCAACTCCAGCTGCCAACTGGTCCTCCTGTACTGGCCCGCACAAGAGATTTACAAAGATGGCACAGACAAAGAACACAGGTAAAAAAATAAAATAAGAGTGGAACACATTCTTTTCTGTTATATTATTTAGTATATGATGGTTATGATTCTCATAACAATAATTGTAATAACTTTCCCACCTGTATATTATTAGTGCCATGTGAAATTTGTCATAGTCTCAATATTACTTGTGTCAAATATATTTTTCTCTCCTAACTTGTTTAGAATTGTTTGTTTTTGTAGGTAATGAATAAATGCAGGTTCAACCTCTACGAATTAGTAATATTTGCAAGTTAAGTAAAAATCTTAACTCTCAAATCTGTCCCACTGTGTCCTACCAAATTGCTCACTTGTCTCTTTACATTTATTTATTTTTTAGTTTGACATATTTTTATGTTTATTTCTTGTAAGGGAATCCATCCTGAACCTGCCAGCGAGGTGGTGGTGGTGTGAAAGCCCAAAACTGTGGTGAAAAGATGTTTGCACTCCACGCTTTACAGAGCTTTCACAGGTATAACCTTTGGGTTAATGTTTTTATGTCCATGTTTCCTTTGTCAAAACTTATTGTGATTCTGTCACTCGTGTGTTTGTAGGACCACTTCCAGATCCTGACATCCTGGCATCGGGAGAAAAACCACCAGCTGGAGTCCCAACCACTTATCACACTTATCCTAGAGATGGTCTCTCAGCTTTGGAGCTGGTACCATCCAGACTTGGGCCTGTGCCACAGGGCTCACTGAGGTCTCACCAGTGCCCACCTGAGAAGTCCTGCGCAGCATCATTTTGCACCACATGGCTCCAGACCTCCCTGCTCTTCCTTCGATGCTGCATAGTCTTCCCAACATGTGTTTTGTGCCCACACTCGGTCAACTTATGCATCTTCAGTCGTACTTCAAGTGTCACATGAAGTACAGGCCAGAACCAGGGAGCAGTCCAGATGTCCTGCGTGGGCTGGGCCGGATTTTAGCAGGGGCTTACCGGGGCTGCAGCCCGGGGCCCCGGCATTTCGGGGGCCCCGAAGGATGTTTTATGTTTTTGTGAATTGATAGTGTCAGAATTTAATCAATGACTATGATGATTTTGACAGCACCGATGAAAAATGTTCCAATTTGTTCTGTCAAACATCCATCTTTAATGCTTGCTTGTTATTGGTCCACTTTTGACGCATCTTACGCATTGCGGAGGAGCGTCAGGGAATATTATTTTGCAATGGCGGACAACAGAAAATATGACAGCGGAGCGCAGAAAAGAAGAAAGAGAAAAGAAAAAGAGCATCGCGACAAACAAAATGCCTAAACTGACAGGCTTTTTTAAACCTGTTAGCGGAGATGGAGCAGAAACGCCCCCCGCACCTCAAACCCTTAACTTTGCTAACACCGGCACTATGCGTGGGTACAGCTTCGACAACCAAGGCTTACTGCTAGCTGTTTACACTTTCTGTGTTGCTTACAGAGGAAGTGCGGAGGAGGAGTCTGCTGACAGCACTGGCAGCTCAGATGATCAGGGGGTACACTAAACCATGTGTAAATGTGTGAACCATTTATTACTTCATTTTATCCATCCATCCATCCATTATCTTTACCCGCTTATTCCATTTTGGGTCACGGGGGTCGCTGGTGCCCATGTCCAGCAATCACTGTGCGAGGGGCGGGGGACACCCTGGACGGGTCGCAAGTCCATCACAGGGACACATAGAGACAAACGAGACAAACAACCATTCACTCTCTCACTCACACCTAGGGACAATTTAGAGTTACCAATCAGCCTAACATGCATGTTTTTGGTCTGTGGGAGGAAACCGGAGTGCCCTGAGAAAACCCACGCATGCACGGAGAGAACATGCAAACTCCACCCAGAAAGGCCCCTGGACTGGGGTTTGAACCAAGAACCTGCTCGCTGAGAGGCAGCAGCTCTACCAGTTGCGCCACCGTGCTGCCCGTTTTTAATATGTATGATTTTCAAATCATGTTTTTTTTATGATTGTCTACTGCTGTACTGATAAATATCTCCTGGAGGGTTAGCTATATCTTGGATGCAAATATCAAGCTGTGAAATCTTTCGTTTTCTAAAACTGATAGGAGTTGGACATTAATTATGAAGTTTAGCAACTTCTCTGTAAACATTAGAGCTCCGTGGTTTCAGCGATGTCTTCTTCTTATTCAATCCGAAGCAGGCAGCCTGATTTGGGGCAGCCGCGCTCAGTGACGGGCAGACTGAGCAGGGCAGATTGGACGCGGCTGTCCGAGGTTGAGTCGCCTCTTTCGGATTCAGCAAGAGTAGCGCCCCGCTGAAGCCACGGAGCTCGAATGTCCAACGTAAAACTGAATTTACCACTGTTTAATGTGGTGCTATGGCTCTGCAGACATTGCACGATGCTGTCTTGTTTTGTGGAGTTTCTAATGTAAAATACTTCCACACAGCGGACATGTTTCGATGAAAAGTTTGTTAGCTGTTAGCCACAGTGCTGCTAACTCAGTCCTCACGTTGTAGCTGGCTGCAAACTACGAAATGGATTTCCTGAATGTGAGGCGGGTCTTATTACTCTGGATTAATGATTCAAGCCACCGTTCATGAAATCCATTCCATAATTTGAAGCCAACGTGCAGCGCAACCACAGACATGCATCATGGATCGAAAATATCGGCACGTGGATCGGAAAAATCCGATACGTAAATTATGCTGGTATGAGAGGCCGATACAATACTGGATCGGATCGGCCCCATCCCTACTTTATTGCACCTACTTTATTCAATTTTCTGGGAGAGGACCCCTAGACCCCCCAGAAAAACAACTTGTTTGTGTCTTTGTGGATTTAGGAAATTATTCTGACAGCATGCAGAGGGAGAAAATGATATGTTGTATGAGACCAGCAAGACATGTTTAACTGGTACAGGCCATGTATGAGGACAGCCGGACATGTTAGACTGATACAGGACATGTGTGAGGACAGCAGGACATGTTAGACTGTTAAAGGACATGTATGAGGACAGCAGGACATGTTAGACTGGTACAGGACATGCATGAGGACAGCAGGACAGTGGTGAGATGTGCTCTAGGGGTGACAGATAGCTTCAAGGTGAAGGTGGGAGTGCATCAAGGATTGGCTCTGAGCTTCTTCTTGTTTGCTCTGGTGATGGACCGACTAACAGATGAGGTCAGGCAGGAATCCCTGTTGATTATGATGTTTGCAGATGACATTGTGATCTGTGGTGAAAACAGGGAACAGGTGGAAGAGAACTTAGGGAGGTGGAGGTATGCACTTGACAGAAGAGGAATGAAAGTCAGCCGTAGTAAGACAGAGTCCATGTGTGTGAATGAGAGAGAGGTGGTGGAGCAGTTAGGCTACAAGGAGCAGAGGTCACAAAGGTGCAGGACTTCAAGTACTTGGGGTCCACTGTCCAGGCAAATTGGGAGTGTGGTAAAGAGGTGAAGAAGAGAGTCCAGACATAATGGAGTGGATGGAGAAACATTTCAGGAGTGATTTGTGACAAAATAGTGTCAACAAAGATCAAAGCAAATGTTTGCAAGGCTGTGATGAGACCAGCTATGTTGTATGGTCTGAAGACAGAGACTTGGACAAAAAGACAGCACTGGAAGTAGCAGAGCTGAAGATGAGGTTCTCCTTAGGAGCAACAAGGATGGAGATGGAGAAGATTAGGAATGGGATCATCAGAGGTACAGCACATGTTGAAGGACTGGGAGATGAAGTTAGAGAGGCCAGACTAAGGTGGTTTGGACATGTCCAGAAGAGAGAATGGAAAAAGACAAAGAGGAGATACATATGTGGATGCAGTTGGAGAGTGAGGACAGGGGATGTAAAGGACAGACGGAGTGAAATGTAGGTGTATGAATTGCTGTGCACACCCCTGAAGAGGGGAACAAGAATAAGGCTGAAGAACAGAATTATAATGGCTTAAAGTGGCTTCTTACTCTAAATTTATCCCCAATCATTAATTTAAACTTTGTCTGGGGTTTATCTGAAAAAGAACTTTCAAAACAAAGTAACTAGACTTTCTCAGTTTAAAGTTTGAGTGTGAAATTCTTTTTAAACTACAGGGCAGTTTTTTCTTGTTTGATGTAATTTTTTTTTTTTTTTTTACCCCAGTCTCAAACCAAGTTGTGTTTATTTGTCATATGCAGGTTAACAGAAGGTTAACAGTATAATGAAATGTTCAGGATGAGAAAAAGCTATTTGACTCGTTAAAAACAAAGAACAAACAAACAAGAAATACTAAAGCATTCAATAAAGCTCCAAAATAAAGTATCAAAAAGTAAAAAAGTAATTATAATATTTACAATGTCCTAAAGAAAAAATCGTAACCCGTATGTCTTTTCCATCTAAATTATGAAAATGTTGGACCTGAGCAGAGTGTCCCTTGTTCTTGAGGTGTAGGTGGACAGCTGAGTCTTGTCCTGAAGAGTTGGCTGCAGTGTCTTGGTTCCTCTCATGTTGGAGAAGCAGGACACTCTTGGGTGGGTAGATGAACTCACCAGGACAGATGTTCAAAAATAGCAGAATAACATTCATGAACATCAGCATGAATAAGTTCTACAAGATCAGCTCAAAGTGAGACTGCCACCCCATTTCGCACTCATGAACTCTGACCTCTTTTTTTAAGCTTTACTTCTTTGTTCCAGGTCAGAACATTTACAGAACCGGTATTGGTGTCAACACTGCACCACCTGGTGGTGGATGGGTTAAATGCAGAGACTAATTTCGCCATTGTATGGAAACATACAGTGCTGACATTGTGATGACATTATTATTATTATTATTAATAATCACACACATAACAAAAACCTGTAAATACTGCTGACATGCAGATTTTGCTCATTTTCTTCTAAAATGCAGGACTTATTATTTTGTTTCATAGTGATTCATGTTCAGCTCTAGTATTCTTTGAAATGCAATCCAGAATATATCCTGATGCATGCTCAGTAATCTGGGTAGAAAAATCTCATATAGTTAAGTCAGGTCCTCTGGACAAGTTTAAAAAAAAATGTTGAAACGTTTCACCTTTAATCCAAAAGACTTCTTCAGTCTGAGGAGCAGTATTAAGCTCAGCCTTACTGTGTAAATAGCACCTTCACATAGTGGATCAAGAGGGGGCTGAGATGAAGTAGAGGCAGGGCAGCCGACCTGGGACCCGAAAGCCCCAGGCTCAATCCCCAGCCGTTCCCACATGTCGTGGTGTCTCTGAGCAAGACACTCAATCCCTAATTGCTCCTCGGGCACTTACATAGCTGCCTACCGCTCCACCTGGGTGCATCCCAGGTGCAATGGGTTAAATGCACAGAACTAATTTTGCCATTGTATGGGAACACACAATGATGACAACACATAGCACTTTACTTTACTTTACCAGTTTGTTGTTGACATTCAAAACTAGCTGTTCACATGATGGAGGACCATCAGCCTAACAATGGCTCTTGAATTAGTGGGGACACTGTCCACTCTGTGATACAGAGTCCTGATGACTCCTAACTTGTGCTCCAGAGAGTGATGGGAGTCAAACTGCAAATACTGGTCTGCGTGGGTGGGTTTGCTGTACACCTTAGTTTGCAAATATCCTCTATCAGGAACTGAGACATCATAGTCCAAGAAAACCAACCTGCCATTTTTTTTACATCCAGGCTCAATGGGATTAACCTGTCTAAATAAAGGTTGAATTAATGAATTTTTCCACAGAGTTGATGTGATCAGTGAAATGTTGGACTTCTTGAGATTTGATTTTAACCCAGGTGTCGTCAACATACCTGAACCAATGACTTGATGGTGTCCCTGAAAAGGACGTCAAGGCTCTCTTTTCTACCTCCTCCATGTACAGATTGGCAACAATGGTGCCCCTTTTCCACTGTCATGGCTGGGGTCAAATATTTCTGGCTTGACCCGTGTTTGAGGTCTTTTCCATTAGTATTTCGTACCGGCTCACCTCCAATATTCTAGCCCTGCTTCTCAAGGGGTCCAAGCTAGCCGAGCTATGATGTCAGAAACACTGTCGGTCACTGATTGGTCAGGGGGAGGAGTCTGTGGAGTCTTTTCAAACAACCCGATCCGCCATTTTTCTCTACCGCCTGCCATTAGCGATAACTCGAGGAGCGTATCTTGTACATATTTTGAAGATCTAAAAAAGTTAAATCTGGTCCTCTGGACATTCAAAAAAACAAAACAAAGCAAAACAACAAAAAAATCCCAAAGATCCAGTCCCCCGGCACAAACAGAGTAATCTTGTGTATGCTGTTCAGTGTCAGGAGGGTGATCAGTCTTACATCGGGGAAACAAAACAGCCACTGGCCAAAAGGATGGCCCAGCACAGAAGATCAACATCATCAGGCCAGGACTCTGCAGTCTACACTCATCTCCAGGCCAGCGGTCACTCTTTCAGGGATGAAGATGTTCACATCCTGGATAGAGAGGAACGATGGTTTGAGAGAGGAGTAAAGGAGGCCATCTTTGTGAAAAGAAATCGTCCTTCATTAAACAGGGGTGGAGGCCTCCGTGTTCAACTGTCCCCCTCTTACAATGCTGTGATTGCTAGTATCACTCAGCCCTCTGTGAATAGTAAACAGCCATCAGGTGCTAATGATCCATTGTTAGGCTGATGGTCCTCCTTGAGCATGTGATCAGCTGGTTTTGGTTGTCAGCAGCAAAACTGGTTGATCCACTCTGAGAAGGTGCTATTTAAGAGACTGAGCTGAATACAGCACCTCAGACTGAGGAAGTCTCTTGGATGAGAGACGAAACGTTTCTACATTTTTTTGTTGTTTTGCTTTGTTTTGTTTTTTTTTGAATGTCCAGAGGACCAGAGTTAACTTTTTTAGATTTTTCTACCTGGATTATTGAGCATGCATCAGGATATATTTTGAAGATATATCATGCTCAATAATTCAGGTAGAAAAATCTAAAAAAGTTAAGTCTGGTCCTCTGGACATTCAAAAAAACTAAACAAACAATAAATTTTATAATAAATAAACAATAAATGTTTTTTTGTTTGTTTTGTTTTTTGAATGTCCAGAGGACCATACTTAACTTTTTTAGATTAATAAGTAATACATTTTTAAATTTAATGAAAGAAAAACCTTTAAAATTTAAGGACAAATTTTAATCTAATTGTTTTCAAGTCTGTATCTTATTGTAAAAGCAGTTTCAAAGATTACAGCACAGTGTGACGTTTTGCAATTTTAACATGAACCCTGTGCGTATCTGTAAATAATAAAAGTGAAGATATTTTCAATACATCTTTATTGTAAAAGTCTATACTAAAATGGAAAATACGTGGGTTTAAATCACGCAGGGAAGGCAATAAGGTAGGATTATGAATCAGGTTTAATAGTTACCGCTCATGAGGTACTCCATTAAAGCAGGACATCTCTTCCACAACATTGTGTGGCAAAGCCTTTAGGGTGTTCTTCTTCTAATACAGTATGTTTAGTGGTGGCTAGTAAATAGCTTAAGGGAGCACTACCGCCACCAGGTGGTAAGACAAGTTCGATTCTGGACCACGCCTACAGAGCGGGTCCAGAAGTGTAAATGGAAACACAACAATACACGAGCCAATCTGAACTTACCTGATCCGCACCGCAACAGTGGAAAAGGGGCTAGGAGAAACTGGAGACCCCATAACACACCCATGTTTCTGTTTATAATATTGCCCGCCATATACGAAGTATTAAGGATTAAAGATGAACCGTTTCAACAATTTTTTTAAACTTGTCCAGAGGACCTGACTTAACTTTTTTTAGATAATCAAGAAAATGTTTTTTTCATAAACTTGTTTTAGGTTGATAGCCAATATTATTGACTGTGTTGATTCATTCAACTGGTCTTCCTCCCACAGGAGTCCTGGTTTTGACCTCAGATGGCCAACAGACTGAATCATTTCAGTGGTTTAGATGTGTTTCATTTTCATAGGAAATTACAAAGAATATTCCAGACCAGGATGTTTTAGAGTATTAAATCAAAAACTTCACGATTTGTCTCTGTGTGTTTTTCCTCAGAGGACCAGATACCACATGGGTTCCCTACCATTGACATGGGGCCCCAGCTGAAGGTTGTGGAAAGGACAACTACTGCCACAATGTTATGTGCAGCCAGTGGGAACCCTGACCCAGAGATCTACTGGTTCAAAGATATGCTTCCTGTGGACACCAGCAGTAGCAATGGGCGAATCAAACAGCTGCGTTCAGGTGAAGCCTTCTGAGTCTGTGTCATGATGGAAATGGTACACATACATATACACATATACACTCCCTGTATATGTTAAATATAAAACACAGAAAAAGAGGCCATTTGACCCTAAAGAATAGTCCTGTTCAGACCTGCTGTTAAAGATTTGCCTAAGGTGATTCACCTGCAGCTCTGACTGAGAGCGTTCAACCTGGCAGTTAACATGCAGAGCTAGCAGATGTGATCTAGAATCAGAATCAGTTTATTATTGCCATGTCAATGAACGAGGTTCACAAACTAGGAATTTGCTTCAACATAAAGGTGCGAATAGTAATAAAGTAAAATAAAGTAAAAATGAAAACATAACATAAAACATGTGTACACCCATATAATAGAAAACAATAAAAAAAAAAGCTTAGAGAACAGTACAGATGGAGTATTCAATTATAATACAGATGTAATGTGACCAAAGCAGAAATTATGAGGTAACATTATGAGTGTTCAGGAGTCCAACAGCAGAGGGGAAGAAACTGTTCTTATGGCGGGAGGTTCTGGTCCGAATGGACCGAAGCCTCCTGCCTGAGGGGAGTGGTTAGAACAGTCCGTGTGCAGGGTGAGCAGGGTCAGCTGTGATCCGACCTGCTCGCCTCACAGTCCTGGAGACGTACAGGTCGTGGAGGGATGGAAGGCTGCAGCCGATCACCTTCTCAGCTGAGCGCACAACGCGCTGCAGTCTGAGTCTGTCCCTGGCAGTGGCCCCGGCGTACCACACCATGATGGAGGAGCTGAGGATGGACTCGATGATGGCCGTGTATAACTGCACCATCAGCTTGGCCGGCAGCTTGGCCTTCTTCAGCTGTCGCAGGAAGTACAGTCTCTGCTGGGCCTTCTTGATGAGGGAGCTGATGGTCGGCTCCCACTTGAGGTCCTGGGTGATGGTGGTGCCGAGGAACCGATAAGAGTTCGCAGTGGTGATGGGGGTATCATTACAGGTGAGGGGGGGGCAGAGGGGCTGTGGCTTTCCTGAAATCCACAATCATCTCCACTGTCTTCCGGGCATTGAGTTCCAGGTTGTTGCTGCTGCACCAGGTCACCAGCCGGTCCACCTCCCTCCTGTATGCAGACTCATCACCGTCCGAGATGAGCCCGATGAGGGTGGTGTCATCTGCAAACTTAATAAGTTTCACAGAGTTGTGGCTGGAGGTGCAGCAGTTGGTGTACAGGGAGAAAAGCAGAGGGGAAAGCACACAGCCCTGTGGAGATCCTGTGCTTACAGTTTGAGTGTCCGAGACAGCTCTCCCCAGCCGCACGCACTGACTCCGGTCTGTCAGGAAGTCTGTGATCCACCTGCAGGTGGAGTCAGGTACATGGAGCAGGGAGAGCTTGTCTTGGAGCAGAGCAGGGAGGATGGTGTTAAATGCAGAGCTGAAGTCCATGAACAGGATTCTGGCGTAGGTTCCTGGGGAGTCCAGGTGCTGCAGGATGAAGTGGAGAGCCAGCTTTATTGTGTCATCTACAGACCTGTTGGCCCTGTAGGCAAACTGCAGGGGGTCCAGGAGGGGGTTGGTGATGGACTTGAGGTGAGATAAAACCAAACGTTCAAAGGTTTTCATGACTACAGATGTGAGAGCTACAGGTCTGTAGTCATTTAGTCCTGTGACACGTGGCTTCTTGGGGACAGGGACGACGATGGAGGACTTGAAACAGGCTGGGACGTGGCATGACTCCAGAGAAGAGTTGAAGATCCCTGTGAAGACCAAAGCCAACTCTCCAGCACAATGTCTCAGCGTGGAGGGTGACACAAGGTCTGGGCCTGCAGCCTTATGTGTATTCAGCCTTTTAGAAAGCCTCCTTACTTCATCCTCTTGTACAGAGATAGCAGGGGGTTGTCGGGGGCAGTCCAAAGTGGTTAAACCAGTTGGGCTGGGGGTGGTGTGGAGGATGGAGGAATGTGAGTCCATGACTTCAAAGCGTGAATAGAAGTCGTTCAGATCGTTTGCGTTTGAGATTGTCTGTAGAATGAGGTGCTCTGGGCTTGTAATTAGTTATCTCTTTCAGCCCCCTCCAGACAGTGGCAGAGTCGTTTGCAGAGAACTGTTGTTCAAGCCGTGTATTGTACCTGGATTTAGCCTTCGACACCTCCCTGCTAAATCCATACTTCACACGTCTGTAGTTGTCTCTGTCCCACTCTCTGAAAGCAGCCTCCTTCTGCTGATGAAGCTCTTTACTTTGGATGTGAACCAGGGTTTATCATTATTGAAAATGACTCTGGAGCGTGATGGGATGATGCTGTCCTTACAGAATGTATATATGACGTCACAGTGTTTGTGTATTTGTCTAGACTGTCTGTAGAAGCCCTGAACAGGTCCCAGTCTGTGGTGTCCAAACACGTGCGTAGCTCCTCCACAGCTTCACTGGTCCACTTTTTGGATGTCCTCACCACAGGTTTTGAGAGCTTCAGTCTCTGTCTGTATGCAGGTATGAGGTGAATCATCTCATGATCTGAGAGACCCAGGGCAGCACGAGGCACAGCACGATAAGCACCTCTCACTGAGGTGTAACAGTGATCCAGCGTGTTCCCTTCTCTGGTCGGGCATTTAATAAACTGTTTATATTTAGGTAGTTCATGCCTGAGGTTTGCTTTGTTAAAATCTCCAAGGATGATAACAAGGGAGTCCGTAAAAGCCCACTCTACACTCGTAATCTGGTCCGCGAGCACGCGCTCAGCCTTGTGCACGTCCGCGCACGGTGGGATGTAAACAGCGGCCAGAATGAATGAAGTGAACTGACGTGGAGAGTAGAACGGTTTGCAGTTTATGAATAGATATTCCAGAGAAAGAGAGCAGTGCTGGGAGATCACTGTCACATCGGAGCACCAGGCGTTGTTGATAAGGAAACAGACTCCTCCGCCTTTTTTCTTTCCTCCAGAAAGTTCCCGCTGTCTGTCAGCGCGGAGGAGCTGGAAACCCTCGAGAAGGAGCGCGGATTCCGGGGTCTGCTCGTTGAGCAATGTCTCCGTGAAGCACAGCACACAGGAGGAGGAAAAATCGCTTTTCCTTCTCATCAGCAGCGCTATCTTGTCCATTTTGTTGTAGAGGGAACGGACGTTGGAGAGGAATATTCCAGGTAAAGGCATGCGTGTACCGCGCCTCCGGAGACATGAGCGCTCTGGCTCTTCTGCCCCTCCTTCAAAGTCTCACTCTTTTGGCCAAAAAGTGCACAAGTTCTGCAGCAGGCACAAAAAAAACTGGAGTAATATCCTCATGGGTTGTAATTCTGATGTTTAGTAGCTCCTCGCAAGTGTAGGAGCACGCAGACACACGATTAACGCACAAAAACAACAAAAAAAAAACGGAGCGCACCAGAATGCCAGGGCGACCGCACATGGCGCCATCTTGGATCTAAGAAATAAAGAAAACAACAATGATCTTCACAGAGCTCAGAACCTTCAACAATCTTCCACAGTAACCCACAGCGCACTGGCAGACATCAGCTGTTTCACAGCTGTACTGTGAATGTCCGGTCATCTCTGTGGGTCGTCAGGTGGATCTAAAACAATTAAAACCACTCAGACTGCTTCCCTATCAATTACATTATATTTTGGTTCTCAGTGACCACCGTGGGTCACTCAGCTCCAAAACAATTAGACCCACTAACCACAAATAAACTGTTTTTGTTAAGGTTTTTGTCAAATAATTTCTAAAACGAGTTAAACAAAACAAACAAACAAAGCAAGCAGAAAACTGTATTCAGAATATTTTCAACGATGGAGGTTAAATTATCTTTAATCATCCAGCAGCTGGGTGGACTTTTCCTTTTTTACCTGAGACTTCCAGGTACTGACGTTGCTTCTGTTGTGGGCTCACGTCAGTCCAGCAGGAGGGTCTACATCCAGGATCAGGACAGGTTGTGTTCACACCTGTACAGTATTTAGCTAAATAGCTAAACATGGATTTAGGTAGTGTGTCTGAACAGGGCATTTCATTGCAATAAACGTACCAGAGAATCACATCTAATCCGATTTTAGTAACACACCAAACTTTAGGGTTTTGATACTGGAAGTTTTTTTACATTGTTCCTCCTTTTTTGTCCAGTTATTGGAAACTTCTATACATTGTATTTGGATCAAAAGAACCAAGTCCATTACTAACTGATTTTTTTTTTTAATTCAGCTTTGAGAGTTGACTACACACACACACACACACACACATACATACACCTCTATTGATGGACTCTGCAACAGAAAATCCTTATCCTTCCAGTCCAGACATTGTGAAAATATAATATGCTTTGATTATTTTTCACAATGAACCTTGAAACGTTGTCACGGCACACTGACTTGATGTTTTAGTGTGGCATGATGTGGGACAAGAATGAGAGGAGGTGATGGCAGGGCTCAGTATTATCCAGTACAATCCCCCACTGGAAGCTGCTGATGAGCCCTTTATCATAACCCCACGGGTCACACAGCTTCCAGTGACGCACCATCCCTTCTGTTTTCTATGCTTACATGTCTGACAGTAGCTGGTTGATTATCAGATGGCTGACATCTGCATGGTAACTAGCCCACTGTACCATTTGCTGCACATGAGTCTTAGTAGGTCCAAATGGTCCAATCAGTAACAGAACTGAACACCAAACAAAGAAGAAGTCCAAACGGTGTGCACAGCCCTAAACCTGAACCTGTGGAGTCCTACTGAATCCTACTGGGGCAATTGTGGCTGAGTGGTTAGAGCAGTCGTCCTCCAATGGGAGAGTTGGAGGGATCAATTCCACCATCAGTTACATGTTGAAGTGTCCCTGGGCAAGACACTGAACCCCTCATTGCCTCCAATGTGTGTCCCATCAGTGTGTAAATGTGATTTAAAGCACTGATTAGTCTCCACAGATTCAGATTAGTATTTGTAGAGCTCTAGTAGAGTGTTGTATGAATGGATAAATGAGGATACTGTAGTGTAGTGTAGTGTAGTGTAGTGTAGTGTAGTGCGATAGACAGCTTTCTCAGTTTACACATATCCCA